CATCAGAGCCTTCCCCAGACTCCAGGACTGGCCCATCTTCCTCCCAAACCTCCTCACTGTCCGAATCTGCTGCCAGCTCTGCTGGTCCCTGCTGGGTCATAAGAGCAACAGCACAGTGTCCTTTTCCACATCAAGAGTACAGGGGGCTAAATTGGGAACTGGGAGACTCCCTGGTGTCGGTGCCCCTCAGAAGCATGTGGGTCACTTTGGGCCCTTCCTGTCAACGTTCACCGTTATTCCTCTTCGCTTGCAGCTTGACAAAGAATGTGTGTGTGTGTGTATTGGAATGCAAAGGTGGGGGGAATGGCCTGCCAAGCATCGTGGGTTCTTGTGCTTCCCCCCCCCCAAAAGACACCGGAGAAGATGTCCCAGAGTGGGTGGCTGGTTCTCATAACAAAACAAACAGTAATGATTTGGTGGGTGGGTAATGGACTCCGGGTGGCCCCGTGGGGAAAGGGAGAATGAACTATGCACAAGTTTGTGCAGGGAAACCCAGAGCCGGCTTTGCTTCTTCTGTGCCACTTATTTAAGTTTATACTCTTGGAAAAAATAACATCCCAGGAGTTTCTTTTTTCTGGATTGGCATTAAACTGATCTCTCTCTCTCTTCCTCTCCTCTCTCTCTCTGTCTCTTCCTCTGTGTCTTTCTCTTCTCTCACTTTTTCTCTCCCCCCTCCCCATCTCTCTCCCCCCCTTTTCTGTCTCTGTTTCTGTCTCTCTCTCTCTCTCTCTCCCTTTCTCCCTCCCTCCCTCCCTCCTTCTCTCTCCCTCTCTCTCTCACCCTCTTCATAGTAACAGGAGCAGGGAGTTGGACTAGAAGACAGCCAAGGTCCCTTCCAACTCTTCTAAATTCTAAATAGATTGCTTTTAGTTGCCCAAAGAAAGGCAGGACACAGTAAGTAAGCAGGACAAATGTAAGCTGAGCTGCCGTGTGTGTGTGTGTGTGTGTGTGTGTGTGTGTGTGTGTGTGTGTCTTGTTCTGAAGATACTTCATGCCCAGCCAGTTTGATTCCAGCCTTGCCAAGCAGCCCACTTTCAGACGGGGATGGAATCCCGCTGCGAAGCGAAGCGAAGGCCGAGTCCAGGAGGCGGCTCACCTATCGAACACGAAGCGCATGAGCTGGAGGTTGAGGGTGCAAGGGAGGCTGAGCAGGCGTATCCTCCGGGTGGCGTTCTGTTTGCTCTGGCAGGACTCGCAGAAGTAACGATTGTCCCCCTCCAGCTTCTCCTCCTGCCAGGGGAAGAAAAGACCAAAGCTGGTTGCAGAGGCACCCCGACCTGCCTGGCAGTGGGACCCCAAAGTCATCAACTCTCACCAACCAAGCTTGGGGGGGCAAGCAAGACCCCTCTGGGTCCCGAGGCTGCTCCCAAAGCCAGTGCTGCTGTGTTTGGCCCTTCTTCCCCCTGGCGGACAGGTACCTTCAGGAACTCCGTGATGCAGTCTGACAGCTGCTTGTGGCCCTGGATGTTTAACTCAAGCTCGTAAAACTTGGAGATAAGTTTGGACTCTCGGCCACACTGGTTGCAACTGGAGAGAGCAAAGCAAGAGGCAGCCGTGAGCGCCCAAAGCCCCCTAAGACCGAAGCAGGAGAAGTAAGCGAGCAGCAGCCGCGCGAAGAAAAGCCTTACACTGTAACGTAGGCGTATTCTCCGCAAAATTGTTTCTGGACGATGTCGCGCACGTCCGGGTTTTTTTGAGAAGACAGGGTGTCCTCCAGGAGGGACATGAACAGCTTGGAAAACTCCTGGGCGTCCTAGAAGAACAGTGGAACAGACAGGATGCGAGTTCAAGGAAACAGGGCAGGGCTACCCAGAATAGAATAGAATAGAATAACAGAGTTGGACGGGACCTTGAAGGTCTTCTAGTCCAACCCTCTGCTTAGGCAGGAAACCCTACACCACTTCAGACAAATGGATATCCAACATCTTCTTAAAAACTTCCAGTGTTGGAGCATTCACAGCTTCTGGAGGCAATTTGTNAAAGAAGGCAAGCGCTGTGGACCTTTGTTCTCCTGCTCCACTTCTCTCTCCCCCCCCCTCTGCCGCCCGGAACCAGAGACACTCTCGGCCGAGGCCAAGTTGGAGAAGGGGGCCTGGCGCCAACCTACAGGCTGAGCGGTGTCCCCGCCCCCCGAGTTTGGTCCAAGAAGAGGTGACTCCATTTACCCAAGTCCTCCTCCGCTCCCAGCTGCAGTTTCTTGCTTTCCATCTTCTCGATCTCTTCGTCGTTAAATCGGTACCACTCCCCTGTTTGGGGGTCCTTCACGTGGGCGATGTAATGGCCCGAGTAGGCGCTGACCCCACGGTGGATGAGGATGGCGCTGAGCTCGTAGACGAAGACGCTGGCTGAAACAGAAGGTGGCGCTCAAAGCTTGGGGAACAGCGAGGCTCCTCACCACCACCCCAATCCTTGTTTTTTCCACCAGCCATGGGCAGCAATGCTCCTCCCCATAATATTCTAGGCTTCCAGGTGGGAGAAGGGCCCTGACCCCCCCAACGCAGGGAACAGGACCCCGAACGGATGGAAACGTGCCCGTCCCAGCTCTGCCTACCTTTGTCTTCCATGAAGGGTCCCAGGTCTAGCAGTTCGGAGAACTCGATGTAAGCGTTCAGCTTCTTCTTATGCCCTGTTTGCCTACGATAGGAAAGTTAGTTAGTTAACATAGGAAAGCTTTCGTTCGCCCCTTTCCGCCTGGCAGTACCAACACAAAGTAATAGCGGCAACTGTTCTGACCGAGGCTTCCCAAGAGCCTGAAGCAAACTCCTCGACCTGACAAAAAAAACCCCTTTTATGAATTGACTTTGAATTCATTCACATCCAGCAAGGTTTTTCGAGGGAGGATTTTCAGTCACAGACCTTATCTGGCTTGGAGAGCTGACAGGCCGGTATCTGCAAAACTTAGCCAGGAGTCTCGGTGAGTCAGGAACCAATTAAGTGAACTAATGGTCTCCTGCAAACTCCACTCCCCTTTCGCTCCTCTTTTATTTCCTCTGGGAGGGGCCATTCACCGCCCCCCTGTGGCCTTACTCCCAAGTCGACCCTTGTTCTTTAGCTGTTCCCTTCCTTTGGCATCTCTGCGCATGTGCACACTGGGAACAGGCTCCAGCTGTTCTTCTGCCTCACTGATGTCTGACTCCAAAGGCAGCTGATAACTGGCAT